GCTATAGTTTCAGTACAATGTGTAGTTGGAAAAAGAATTAGAGCTGTAACTATTGAGGATGAACTTGATGAAATGATCGAACAAGGATTAGAATATGATAACGAAGAAGAAACAAATAGCTACATTGTCAAGATTAAAGAATAAGAAGAAGATACCGACCTTTGGAATGAAACTTGGAAGAAGAATTCAAATCAATCTTGGCTTGACGAAGTAGAAACATACGAAGAGGAAGTTAATTATTCCAAATATGTACTCAACATTTTATATGATAAAGATGGCATATTTCTCTCAATTAGAAAAGGAGAAGTTATGTACGGAATGTGGCAATCTCCTGGAGGAAAAGTAGAAAGAAATGAGAGCCCAATGAAAGCAGCAGTACGAGAAACTGAAGAAGAAACTGGAATAAAAATCAAGGAAGAAGACTTAGAATACTTATTCAATGATCCAGAATTCAATTGTAATGTATATATAACAAAGATTCCTAAAGGAACTAAATTGCAACAGACTGAAGAAGACAAAAATGGACCTTGGATTTGTATCAGCTTCTTGAAATATGAAGAGATAGCTAAACAAAGAAAAACTACTCCAACCCACATGACATTTATCAATGAAATATTAGATCAAATTGTATGAAATAACTTGCCTAATAGTCTTACAGAAACTATGCAAGCTGAAATGATAAAAGAGGAAGTAGTGATTCCAAAGCAACAAAAGGAAATTGACATTCTGATGGAGGAAAATAAAGACAGATTTGTCACCAATATTTCTGAAACTAGACATCGACTAGAGTTGGAAGAACCAATATAGCCCAACATAAAATTGATACAAGAAATGCCGATCCAATTAGAAAAAATTATTATCGAATGACAAAGGAAGAACAGGAATTTATCGATGGAGAAATTAAGAAGATGCTATGTGAAGGAATCATTCAAGCATCTGATAGTCCATGGGCATCACCTGCAATTCTTGTAAAGAAAGCAAATGGAAAGAAAAGACTATGTAT